TTGAGCCCATTGTTGCAGCCACTGTGTCAAGCCATCTCATTGAGGGTCTTCCTCTTCTTCACTGACCCTCTACTTTACCAAGCATAGTATTCTTCTCCAGCGACTGGTCCCTCCTGATAACTTGTCCAAAATCACTTCTCAGGAGCATTCTGACTGTACTTCTTCCAAGAGAGATTTGTTCTTTATTCTGGCAGTCCATGGTATATTCAATATTCTTCACCAACACCATAGTTCAAAGGCATCAGTTCTTCTTCGGTCTTCCTTATTTATTGTCCAGCTTTTGCATGCATATGAGGCAATTGAAAATACCATGGCTTGGGTCTGGCACACCTTAGTCCTTAAAGTGACATCTTTGCTTTTTAACGCTTTAAAGAGATCTTTTGCAGCAGATTTGCCCAATGTACTATGTCATTTGATTTCTTGACTGCTGCTTCCATGGAGATTGATTGTGGATCCAAGTAAAATGAAATTCTTGACAACTTCAATCTTTTCTCCAGTTATCATGATGTTGCTTATTGGTCCAGTTGTGAGGATTTTTGTTTTCTTTATGTTGAGGTGTAATCCATACTGAAAGCTCTAGTCTTTGATCTTCATCAGTAAGTGCTTCAAGTCCTCTTTCGTTTTCAGGAAGCAAGGTTGTGTCATCTGCATATGGCAGGTTGTTAATGAGTCTTCCTTCAATCCTGATGCCATGTTTTTCATAGAGTCCAGCTTCTTGGATTATTTGTTCAGTATACAGAGTGGTGGTTGTGGGAACTATTTCCCTCAAATTACAGGAAAACTGATTTGTCATGGTTGAATGGAAATCATTCTCCCTCTACTAGCTTCTGCCACTTTCCCCTTATTTTACAGCTTCCCATCCCAAGTTTCTTTCATTGAGTTCGTTATCTCTGCTTTATTCTTGAAGAGGGAAATGGACTGGGGTCTGGATTCTTCTGTGATCTGGCAGAAGACCTACAACAGGGTCAGTCAGCAGCTATTGTTTTAGTGAAAGCCAATAGACAGATGATCACCTAGCTTAGCCTTCCACTTACTAAAAATGATTGTTCAACTATTAAGTTTAGCCTTTTAGCTCAGTATAAAAGAAGCTGAAGGCACTGAATGGTTAAAGGGAATTTCTGGATTTACATTTTAGCCAGATTTCATTCAATAAATATTTGAATATCCACTCTAGGCTAAGCCCAGTGCCAGTCTCTGGGGGGTATAGTAAATAAGGTGAACATGATCTTTGATCATGGAGGTGAGAGAGAAAAGGACAATTTAAATAAATAAAATAGGAGACTCCCAGCAACATGGTGCTCTAGGCGGAAGCACCATGCTGTCCCTCCACAGCAAA